CTCTCTCTCTCTCTCTCTCTCTCTCTCTCTCTCTCTCTCTCTCTCTCTCTCTCTCTCTCTCTCTCTCTGTGCCTGTGTGTGTGTGTGTGGAGTACCCCCGTTCTCAGCACCCCGACTACTACATGGACCATGAACGAGGAACAAGAAGAGGAGGAAGAGGAGGCGGAGGAGGAAGAGGAGGAAGAGGAGGAAGAGGAGGAGAAGAGGAGGAGAAGAGGAGGAGAAGAGGAGGACACGAGTGGACGTGCAAGCGGACGCGCTCGCGCCGTCCAACCGTCGATCCAGTAGCTGCCACGATGGCCGATGAGGTGACAAAAAAGGGGAAATGATGGACAGGGGACGAGCAGCAGGGGGGGAACGGGACGGGGGGGAGGGGGGAGGGGGGAGAGGGGAGGGGAATGATGAACAGGAGGACAGGACGACGAACGGGGTGTCGTGCGCAGTCGGAGCTGCAGCGTCAAGCGGGGGACGATACGCGCACCCGCTCCAATCTCTGATTGCGCGGAGGACGAAGAGGACGATAAATAGGAAGACGATGGAGAGGAGGAGGAGGAGGAGGAGGAGGAGGAGGAGGAGTTGAAGTCGAACTGGGAGCGACTTGCGAGCCAACGACCACCTTGATCGTGCGGCGTAGGCTGCGAAGGAGGACAAGGAAGAGGAACAGGACGAATAGAAAAAGCAGGGGATAAGATAAAATAAAATGTAAGAAGCAGGGGGATACGGAGGAAAGAGGGAAAACGGAGGCCGGGGTCAGCAGCAGGAGCAGGAGGAGGAGGAGACGAGGGGTGAGCCGAGCGCTGCGCTCGAATTCCAAAGTCGATTGACGACGCAAGGCATATGCCTCTCGCGCGACTTCTCATCTGGCGTTTGAAGACGAAGGGGAAGATGAGGAGGAGGGCAAGGAAGGGCGGCCCGGGGGGGGGGGAAGGAGGGGTACAAGAACTAGAGGGGAAAAAAGGAGACAGGGGGGAAGATGAGGAGGAGCGCAAGGAAGGGCCGGGGAAAGGAGGAGAACCAAGATTAGGAATAAGGAGAGGGAGAAGGAGGGCGACGAGGACGGGGAACCGTGAGGAGGAGAGGACGACGAAGAGGAGGAGTACGACCACGAGATAGGGGCGATAAGGAGAGGAGGAAAGAGGAGGCGAAACAAGAGAGGGTGACTGAGGTCAGCACTCCCCACTTAACCTTCCATGAGGGAGTAGTGGGCGCGCCCCGTGGTTCAGCATCAAACGGGGCACGCAGCGCGCGCACCCTTCGATTAACGACCGATGATGACTGGTGACGACGAGGAACAGGAGACGGAAGAGGGGGGAGGAGGGGGAGGGGGAGGGGGAGGAGGGGGACGAGGAGCAGGAAAAACAACGATAAGGGGGAGGTAGGATAAAGACGAGAAGAAAGAAAACTAAGGGTCCGGAGTATGAGAGAGGAGGGCGGGAGGAAAAAAATTTACGAGGCGGCGCTGCCTGCGAGGACGAGGGCATGCAATGCTGGATGAGAAGAGCGGGAAGAGAAGCGCATGGCGAAAGTACAGAAAAAAAAAAAACAGCGGTGGTGCGAGCAGAACGTAGTCTATAGAGGTTAAAGACGAGCCCAACCAAGGGAGCGAGGAGGCGAAGGAGAGGTGCGGGGAGCTCAAGCAAAAGGCCAAGAGCAGGCCGACGAGTAGAAAGGTGGGAGTGCGAGTCAGATAAGACGGTAAATTGACCTTGCACCGCCATGAGGTCGACGAGGACAACTTCGCTCTCCCGCGCACTCTCTCTTACTCTCTGACTCTCATACTCTCTTACTCACGTGCCCCCTCCCTCCCCCCAAGTATGAAGGACGGTAGCTACCACGCCCACAGTCCAGAGGGCGCGCCCGAGGTTCAAAAGTTTGACCGCCAGCTGCCCGCTCACTCCCGAGACGGTGACCAAGGCCGGCGATCGCAAGGCGCGCACAGGGTCCCCGCCTTTTTCCCAATTTCCACACGCACACGCCAACCCTCGGTGGGGCCATCCAATCTTCTGAGCGCGTCGTTGGACTTTTTTGGATATCACGGTCCACTTTTCAGAAGCCCGCATTTGGAAAGCGTGCTCTCTTTCGCAAAAGCGTCCGTTGCTAATCTCTCTCTCTCGGACATAAATAGGTGGGGCGGTACGTTCATCAGGCCTCTGCGGGTCCGGGCCCCAGGTTCTTTCGTTTGCTAATGTCGGCCAGGGGTGGTACGTTCATCAGGCCTCGACGGGTCCGGGCCCCAGGTTCTTTCATTTGCTGATGTAGGGCCCGTGCAGCGGAATGGAACACATGTAAACAGTCACGAGTTCCAACCCTAGATGTAAACAGTCATGAGTTCCAACCCTTGTATTGTCTACCGCGTGGGCGCGGGGAACGCAGCCCTAAGGTAGCCAAATCAATGAGACTAAGAGCTAACACAAGAGAGAGAGAGAGAGAGAGAGAGAGAGAAGTTTTGTTCCATTTATTGTTATGAGTGTGGAAGAGAGAAAGAAATAGAGAGAGAGGGAGGAGGGGGGCCTACCAGAGGGAGAGAGAGAGAGG